GTGATCTCTTAATTTTTAGAATTTCAAGTGAATTTTAAGGTTTGGCATAGTGCCTAAGGCATCTGACTGCTAACCAGAAGGCTGGCAGTTCAAACCCACCAGCCACTCCTTTGAAGGAAGATTGGGCAATCTACTTCTGGAGAGATACCGCATTGGAAACTCAAGAAGGGGCTGCTATGAGTTAGAACCAACTAGATGGCAGTGAGTTCGGTTTATTTTTTTCTCCCATAAATGCTCTTTAAGCTTTTGATCATTTATGGGAGAAAATGCTCAAGGTTTTGATGTCAGTTTCTGCTTTTTCTATACAGGTACACAGAGTATGATAATACTGTTGTTCCTCGTTATTCATGGCGGATTGGTTCTAGAAACCCCGTGGGTACCCAATTCCTCAGATGATCAACTCCCTTATATAAAATAGTGTAGTATTTGCATATAACTTAGGAACATCCTCCTGCATACTTTAAAAATCATCTCTGGGTTATTTATAATACCTAATACAATGTAAATAACACCCTCAGCTCCTCCTAGCCTATGAAGGATTGCTCTGACCATTTAATTGCTTCTATTTTTTTCTAAGTGTATTTGATCCACAGTTGATTGTATCCATGATACAGAACTCAAAGATTCTAGGGGTCCAATTGTATACAATTTACTCTAAAATTATCCATTTTTCTATCTACAATGGACTATATCAACAGTTCACACTGCTCTGCCCTTAGACAAAATAAGAAGGCACTGCTCCATCCTAATGCTGAATTATTATTTGCAGCGCACACTTTTGCAATGGTTGGATGTTTGCTTGGCAGTTGGAGTCACAGATCTCAAACCTTGTTGAGGGTTAGGGAGTTCATGTCACTTACACAGAGATAATAACTAAGGATAAGTAGCTGATTTATTTGAGGAGAAGAATCTGAAAGAAAATGGAAGTTCAGAGAAGCAAGTGGTAGATACAGCCCTCATGTGAGATGTTGGGAGGTAAACATTAGAAGGGAAATAGGATAATACTCACAGGAGGAAGAAGGCCAGACACAAGTTTTTTTTTTTTTAATTTAATTTTTTCAAAGATGGATTGCTCGGTATAACAGGAAGGATGGGAAACTCGGAATACATGTGCTAGTTTTAGAGAGAAATATAGTAACCAGTTGCCACTGAGTAAGCTCCAATTCATGGCAACCCCATGTGTTAGGACAGAACTGTGTTCTTTAGTGTTTTGAAGTACATCACTTGGCCTTTCTTCCAGAGTACCTCTGGATGGACTCAAACCTGCAATTCTTTAGTTACCATCCAAGCTTGTTAGTACTCCTGAGAAATGTGTGGACCATCTGCACCATACAGGGTCTCTCAGGGGTAAATCACTTTCTCTAAAAGCTGATGGAAATATGTATGATGGACAATATGTAGAGAGTGTTGATGTGGAGAGATGAGAGGACAGAGGGTCTCAGGAACTGCTGGAGAGGGCTGAGGAGTGGCACAGGATGGGTGGGAGGCAGAGAGAGACTGAAAAGACCAGGAATATGAAACAACCTGTTGGATGAGCTGGAACAAACTAGATTCGTTTTGGGTGGACTTGGGATTGCAGGTTCTCTGCCATAACTGGCTGGTACCACTAGAGGGCACTTGTACCTCATGCGCTACTACCCAAAGGGAAGTCCTGGCCTCCAGAGTCACCACTTTGGTCTGTCTATCTTGGGATCACTTGAGTCCTCAGCAGTCTAGGCTCTATATGCTCTGTTCAATGAGGTGCTCGTGACACGGTGCCAGGCCACAGAACCTGTTTCCAGATATCTGTATTGCTCAGGGCCAGCCTCGGATGGCTGATCCTGTTGCTTACTCTTCCTTACATAGGCGCTCAGCCACTCCTAGAGGATTGTGTGATGGATAGTGAATGGCTATGACAATCACCTGAGAACTCTAGACATCACTTTGTAAACTACCAAGGGTTCTTGGTTACTGGAAACCACATAGGCTTCCTGTGCCATTTGTTATCTTTCTACGTATATCTTCTTTCTCCTCAACTGGACTCTAAGCTTTTAAAGAACAACGACTATCAGGATATCTTAAAATGTCATGAATGAGATGAATCATTATGTCCAGCATTTGCTTTGAAAGAACCCACTGTAGTGGAAGGGGGGGTGTGGATGAAAGAACCATGGAACTTCCTTACATAATTCCTTTTATATATATATTTGGAATTTGCTATAGATAAAGTTTTTAAAAAATATCGATTCCTTATCTACTATAGTGTTAGTAATGAAGCCCTCAGTCTCCCTGTCTGTAAAATGGGTGACAGATCATGTCAGATGGGGTTCCTTCTAGCAATACCCACTATGATTTTGAGACTCACTGTACAAGAGGAAAGCACTGTTAGCTTGTGGGCAGGATGGTTGTTAAGGAAAGAGTTGCTCAGAGCTCTTAAGAAAAGTCTAATTAAGCAGAAGACATGAATAGACACTTCACCAAGGATGACATTCAAGAGGCCAACAAACATATGAAGAAATGCTCACCATCATTAGCCATTAGAGAGATGCAAATCAAAACAACAATGAGATTACCATCTTGCTCCAGCAATAGTAGCAAGGTTCAACGAGACAGAAAATAACAAATGCTGGTGAGGATATGGAGAGATTAGGACTCTCATACACTGCTGGTGGGACTGTAAAATGGTACAACCATTGTGGAAAGCAATATGGCGATTCCTTCAAAAATTGGAACTAGAAATACCATTTGACCCAGCTATTCCATTACTAGGTATACATCCTAAAGAAGTGAGAGCCATGACAAGAACAGACATATGCACACCCATGTTCATTGCGGCACTATTTACAATAGCCAAAAGATGGAAACAACCATGGTGTCCATCAACTGAGAAATGGATATCCAAATTATGGTACATACACACAATGGAATACTATGCAACCCTAAAGAATAATGTAGAATCTGCAAAACACTGCATAACGTGGATGAACTTGGAGGACATTTGCCGAGGGAAGTAAATCAATCACAAAAGGACAAATACTGTATTAGTCCATTATTGTAAAAGTCAAGGAAATGCTTATCTATGGAAGGACATTTTCTTTGTTGGTTAACAGGGGTGGGAGGGGAGGGTAGAGAATATGGTTAGATAGATAAGAGATAAGTTTTGATTTGGGTGAAGAGAAGGGCAATGTACCAAATGTGAGTGATCAACATAGTGGCACTGAGGAAGAGAAAGACATAGAGATACATGGGAAGTACAGACAACAAGGATGAACACTTTTGCACATATAGTATGATGTGGTCAGTGAAGGCAAACACGGGTGTATGGGTGGATAGATGGGTGGACAGGCTGAACTATTACTATGTCTATGAAGTGGGGAGTGCACCCAAGAACACGCATAGGGTTGGCAGACAGTGGTCCTATAGCTTTAAGTGTATGATCTGAATTCCCAGGTGTATAATGGAGCTGACAAGGGGCAAGGTTGTAATCACTGCTTGGTCACAGCCAGCTACCCAGAGGGACCAAGGAGGTAGTAAACCTGTGGGCTCAGGACCATAGTCACAGTGGACATCAAGCTCAAATGGCATAACATACTACAGAAAACTTTGTTCAACCTCCTACTGTGGCAAGTAGCAACTGGGATATTAAAAGCTTGCAAGCTGCCATCTAGATGCAACGATGGGTCTCTCTTCGTCCAGAGCCAAGAAGAATGAAGAAAACCAAAAATCCATGGGAACAATTAGTGCTAGCGACTGGTACATCATCTGATCTGGAGCCTATACAACTATGAAACCAAAAGAACTAGATGGTGCCTGGCTACTACTATCAATCACTTGGAAGAGGATCTATGTAGGAGATCCTGGATAGATAGGGAGAACAATGTGGAACAAAACTCAAAATCATTTGGAAAAAAAAGGGGGGGGGCAGGTTTGCTGGTCTGATAGAGGCTGGTGGAACCACTGAGACTATGGCCCCTAGCTGCCCTTCAAGTTTGGAATTGAATGCACGCCTGTGGCTTCCGGCCAAACAATGGACAGGCATATGAGTTGAGCATTTACCTGATGTAGATACACTCCTTGGAGAGAACAAGCATGGGAGAAAGAAGGGCTGCTTATGCACAGGAAGACAGCTCAGGGGGCAGGAATGCATGGAGGGATGGACACAGGGAAGAGGTAACTGTCGGGAGGAAGTGGGAGGGGAGATGTTGCATTGTGGTAAATTTTGGTCAGTGTCATGAGACAAAATGTATGTGAACTGCTGTATGGAAAGTGAATTTGCTCTGTAAATTTTCACCCATATCACAATTAAAAAAAAAAAAGAAGAAGAAGAAAAGTCCAATTAAGGGTAATAAAGTTACGTTCTAGGAATGTCTCTTAGTAGTGTTTGATTTTAGCCCTTTGCATGTCCCAAGGAGCTGAGGATACCTGCTCTGACCCCATTGCTCTAGCCTCCCAGGTTCCCCACCACCCAGACTTTCCTTAGTAGCTCAGAGCTGCCATGGTGCTTGGCAAAAAAGCCTCAGCTCTGTGTCTGTGCCCTGTGGGGTTTTTGTTTGCACATGTTTTAATTGATTCTTTCCTATAATACCCTACAGAAAAGCCTCTTCAACTTCTGCCTTGTGGTTACGAGGAAGAAGAGGAGGCAATACTGAATGAGTTCTAAGAGGAGGGAAAGGAGAAAATCTTCACCCATCTGAAGTGGGCAGAGGAATTCAGGGAACAGTGAGGAAAGATTTCAGCCAGCCTTTGATTGGAGCCAGCATTTATAAGGTCTCTTCTAGATCTGTAGAAGGATATGTGTGTGTGAGAGAGAGGATAATAACAAAAAACATTTAAGGTGTGGATATTAGGCCAGTATGTGTGGGTATGATGAAGTGAACAAGGTTTAACTGTTAAAAACCTCGGATCCCTCAGTTGTCCTCACTGTGCTTATATCTATGAGGAACACGGTTAGACCTCAATAGCTTTGGGGAAAGTGGGGTGAGGCAGGGTACTTTTGAGGCTTTAAAGTGAAATAGACTTACCAAATGTGCTGGGGATGGGGATCTCGTGTCCTTGACTGTGGTGCTGGAGGGGACATCAAGAAGGGGCCATTTCATCTGCAGGTACTATACAGGGGACAGAAAACACAAAACAGCTGGTGAGATGAAGCCTCACAAGTGCCCAAAATGAACAGAGAAGTTCTGCATTTGGCTGATGGGTGGTTCAGGAAGGCCCACTGTTTTAACTGCACAAATCCTATACTAGGTCAATTTCCGAACAATTTTAAGAAGGTAGAACATACATTTATAATCATGATTACCACCACCATTCACCTCCATCATTTTTGGGGGAAACAAATGACAGCCAAGCTGAACTTTAAATGGGAAAGAGAACTGATAAATTCCAGCACACCAACCAAAATAGTCAAAGAAGCCAGTCATGACTCTCAAGTCATCCCTGCTCAACTCATGGGGAAAAGTGGAGTTCATCGAGGGAACAAAGGTCTCTGGGTGATGATCTTGCCCAATTCATTTCCATCTCGTATAACGATCCCTAAGAAATAGCATCTCCAGAAGGATCTGGTGGATAAGTGAACAAAAACCATATGCCTGACCCTCTCTGGATTATAGGTAATAGCTATCCATTCACAAGGATGATGATCTTACTTATTTCATCATAGTGTTTCTCAAACTTGAAAAAATTACTCAGTACTCCACTCTATCTCATGTGTCATTACAAAAGAACCAAACCAAAGCCAGTCCCCAACCCAAACACATATACATACCTTTCATGGGTTCAGATTCTCATTCTGCCAATGTAGGCTCTGAGAGCCTAAGTTCCTTAACAATTCAGAGCCACATTCTCTTTATTTGCAAAGCAAGGCTAACTCTACAGGGATTGGGGACGATGGGCCATGCACATGGAAGACATTTGAGAAACGGCAGCTATGATTTTCATACGTGAATCATTAGTCTTTGTCAGGAGAAAATAACACACATGTTGCCTCAGTGCTAACACTAATAGGGTGCTTCCAGGCAGCAGACCAGCTATGCAATCTCATTTCAGAATTCTTGAGGTGACTTTGAGAATTAGAACTCTGGTAGGAAGTGATGGCTCCAGGAAGTTTCACGGAGAGAAAGAATGAAGTCTTGATCTGTTCTTTGCTCTGATCATTCAATTTCAGGCTGAGGAAAATCAAGGCTGGGCCTTGCTCTGGGTACCCTGGGCAGGGAAGTAGGCTAGGCAGTGGTCCTGAAGCCCTGTTTGCTCTCATCAACTACAGCCCCTGACTGACAGGGCGGGGATGGGGCTTTTGATAAGGTGTCCATGGGCATGAACAACTACCCAAAGACACATGTGCCAAGTGCCAGGCATGGCACAGACAACAGGTGGGATGGCCTGAGAAGAATGGACATGAGGGGCCTACTGGAGGCAGGAATGAAGTGGGCACTGAGGGCCTGTGAGCACAGACCCTCTTTTCATTCTAGGCCCTCAGGTTCTCTCCACCCCACCCTATGTTGAGTCTCACCTCTGCCCTGTCCTCTGCTGCCCCATATCATCTTCCTCTACTGAGAGCCTACACTTTCCAGATGAATTGACGGGATTTAAATGTGTTTGGCAAGTTAAAAGCACTGGACAAATATTGGTATTATTAGTTGAAACTAATTTTCTCAGTGAATAAGAGCATTTATCCTACAGTTGCTGTTTTTCAAAGTCTTTTCACACACAATTGGTGTAACTTTCACAACCACCCTGCTATTACAAGTAGAGGTTGTTGTTGTTGTTGTTGTTATTTGCCATAGAGTCGGCCCCGACTCCTAGCAACCCCTCCTTGGGTTTCTGAGGCAGGTATCACTATGGAAGTAGGATTGCCCAACCTCCCTTCCGAGGAGTGGCTGGTGGGTTTGAACCGCCAGCCTCCTGGTTAGCAGTCAAGTGCCTTAGGCACTATGCTACAAGTAGAGGTTACTATTCCACAATTTCAAATGAGCCAGTGGAGGTAAATGCAGGCTAAGTGACTTGGCCAACATCATGGATGAAAGGTGGACACTATGTCTCTTTATTTCAAATCCCACACTTTACACTACACCATGAGTCACAAGCTTTTCATGACACCATCACCTTCTAGAAAACCGCACCCTACTCCCCACCCCCCAACCATAAGTCCCCAGCTTTTCTTTGCTCTGATGGGTTGGTTGTCTCTCTCTCACACAGGGCTGGCCACCCAGAAGCTGTATGAATACCACATCAAAGCGTCAATCAATATAGATACACATCAGTATTTTCCTGCAGTCATACTTGGGGCAGCCAGAGCTTACACATGGGTGCTAAACATCACACTCACTTTTCTAGAAGAAACAACCTTCCCAACCCATCAACATTTCTCTTTGCCTTTTAAAGTTGAACTACAATTACAAAGATCAGATGCTAAAGAGAAGTGTCCTAAATCCACCCCCTCAACATTAAACATGATAGAAAACAAACAAAAATAACCCAAACTTACTGCCATAAAGTTGATTCCAACTCATAGTGACCCTTATTGGGTTTCTGAGGTGGTAAATCTTTACAGAAGTAGATTGCTCAGTCTTTCTTCTGTGGAGTGGCTGGAGGGTTTGAACTGCCAACCTTCTGGTTAGCAGTCAAATGCCTTAGGCATGACACCACCAGAGCTCCTTTGTTGCTGCTGTTGTTATGTGCCGTTGAGTCGGACCCAACTCATTGTGCCCTCTCCCCTTGGGTTTCCGAGGTGGTATCACTACGGATGTAGATTGCCCAACCTTCCTTCCAAGGAGTGGCTGGCGGATTTGAACTGCCAGCTTCTGGTTAGCAATCAAGTCCCTTAGGCACTATGCTACCAGAGCTCCTCCAGAGCTCCTTAGGGTTCCTCAAATCCATCCACTGCACCAGAATCTGGTTCACTACTCAGGGACATAAAGACACATGATGAACACTCTTCATTCTTGTCAGATTACCAGGGATGCTCTTAGATCAGATAAAGGGGCCTAAAGGATTCTGAATTCTAGTTGAGGACAATGCTAAAGTTTTGTGACATAAATAAAATAAAGCTTTGGTTATGGAGTAAAACTGACTCCTACGTCTTTTATATATGAGAGCTGGAGCCTGAACGGTTGAATGCAGACTATGAAGCAACAAAGGTACTCTGGGTGGGGATAGAGAGGTAGGGAATGGGGAAGTGAAAGGGACAGATACTGGCATTTAATACTATCAGCTGGGTTGTTAGGCATAGCTGGAATATTAGGGCTCTAGTGCAAGGTTTCTCCAATTCTGGTACTATTAACATTTTGGGTTGGACACGTCTTTGTTATGACAGGCTGCCTTGTGTACTGAAGGATGTTTAGCACCATCCCTGGCCTACAAACCAGTGCAGTTGCCTTCCCCCACAGTTGTGGCAATGAAAAATGCTTTGAGACTTTGCTAAGTAACTCCGGAGGGAGGAGGGAGATCCAAAACATCCCCCTGGTTAAATACCACTGCACTAGTGGGAGCTGGTACTCAGTACAGTGTGAGCTCCATGAAGGATTGTCTGCCTTGATACTGGCATATTAAGGTACCAAACCTAAAACCTATTGCTATAGAGTTCTAGTGACACATAGTGATCCCCATTGGGTTTCCAAGGCTGTAAATCTTTACACAAGTACATTGCCTCATCTTCCTCCTGAGGAGCAGCTGGTGGGTTTGAACCACTGACCTTCTGGTTAGCAGCCAAATATCTTACCCACAATTCTATCAGAGCTCCTTATTAAGGTACAAACATACATATAAACACATACAAATATTCAGAGCAAGGACTTTTAATATTAATAAAGCTACTATTTTTGGTAGTTTATCACGTGCTTGGTGTTTTACCTAAGCAGCGGGATGTCTCCAGCTTCTGTGAAAGAAGAACACTGTGGTCTCCTTTTCCCTTAGTGTTCAGGTTCACTCTCTTAATTTTAACCTGGGTGACCATCTTTAGTCCCATGTAGCACTGAAGTCTTCCCTCAATGTCAGATAGCATCAGGGAAGAGAACAAAGGGGAAAAGTGGTTCTGGAATTAGTATGTGTCCAACCTGGGACCCATCCTGCTCCAGCCACAGCTGGGGTGCATGTAGGCGTATATGTGGGCAGACAGGGACTCATTCTAGGAGGTAAGAATATGGGGGATTGTCTCCAACTTCTTTTTATTTTTCTGACCTTTTTTGATAATACAGAAGCACATTCAGCTTAGCCATGCAATGCCCTTAGATCACAATTCTGGGTATAGGTTTGTACATTCAAAAGGAACAGCTGATATCCCAGAACAATGAACCAGGACAGCAGGGACCAGCAATGCCCCTTATAATGCTTAGCCCTCTCAGCACCAGATGATTGGAGGTAAGCCACCCCAATGTTAAGGTAAAAAATCTCTTGTTGGCTGTAATTGTCACGTTGGGCCAGCCTGACAATCATCCGAGGGATAGTCACTCATTGGTGGGAATACACCCTGATGGATCAGGCTGAGTGAGATTCGCTGCACTAGTGGAGCCTATATTCTTTGTACAGTAATGATACTGTGGCAAATTGAAACTGCTGGTTTCCCCAAGCCCACTGTAGGCACCATTCAACTGGCCACACAAAACCACCATGGTTTCTGATGAGGTGCATCATGGATGGGATCAAGCACATAGTGAAGATGTGTACACAAGGGTCTAGATACCCTTCATCTTGGGGGAGGCCCATGGCAGTGTAAAGCATTGGATCATTGTGGTATCAGTGCACCTGGTGGGCCAGCAATAGCCATAGGTACCACTTATAGGATGCTATGCAGCCAATGCACCTGAAGCACAGCAACTACCTGTCTGTCAATGAAGGCTTGTGTGTTGCTATGATGAGGAACAGGTTTGATCATAGCTTCCAGACCAAGACAGATAGGAAGAAAGACCTGGTGATCTACTTCCAGAAATTAGCCAATGAAAAACCTCTGGTATGAAAAGTCTGATCTTTTTGTGCTTGGGATCACCATGAGGCAGGGACTGACTTACCAGCACCTATGTGATAAATAGGAGCTCTGGTAGCATAGTGCCAGAAGGCTGGCAGTTCAAACTCACTGGCCACTCCTCGGAAGGAAGATAGGGCAATCTACTTC